GTGAGCTGTTGTTACATGACATTGCAGTAAGTTTGTGCATAATAGAGATGCAACTTTTCTTAATGCATTGCATTGCTAAAGCGTAATCAAAGTTACACTTGTAATGAAAATATTTAGATGTAAACAGTCTAGATATATTACTATTGTAAAACTGGGGCTGAGCAAAAAATACCCATGTTTCTGTAATATATCAGTAATTGGTACTGCATTCTTAGCTGTTTTGAAATCCATCAAAAATAAATAAATTATGAAATGAATTAGTTTATATGTGAGCCACACTCCTAGGGAGGATGGCTTCTACCTTAATACTTATACTTTATATTGCTCTAGGTGTTGGCTGTAATTTTTTTTCTTTCAAAACACTAGGAACTGCCAAAAGGAGCGATTTACATGTTGTGTACTTCTGTTGTGACTACCTAATCTCTTCCAAATTCCTGCAATGCTTATGTCAACCACTTGCAAATGAGAGAAACCTCTTAATTTTGTTCACACAATAATATTTGAAATCAGTGTGCTCCCAGTTTATGGTGGTGAGACTACAAATAAAAGTTACCTCTTTTTGCATTGGAGTTCCTTAATATTTATTGAATACCTGATAATGTTACATCTTTCAGTTGGTATACTCGCCCCGGAAGCGAATTATGTTATTTTCTGTTTCATAAATCTTCACCTCGTACATAAGTTCAGGATTCGGAAGCTGAGCCTTCACTCCATCCCATACAAAAACTGCAACATGCTCTGTTGTGCTGACAATATCCCTGTTGGACCAAAATAATGTCTCTTATAAATAGTTGAGTACAAACATAAGAATGATGGAGAATTCTAGTTGACCACTTACTTGAAATAAGGGACGTCTTTATCAATATTTTTGTGATCCATTGTCTCCATTATTGCCTTCTTCATGTAAACTTTCAAATCACTAATATTCATGACCATTCCAGTTGCACGGTCGATAGGGCCACGCAAAGTTACTTCCACTAAAACGTAAGAGAAAGTTTTTACGTAGGTCAAATATTTATACAGCTCCAAGGACATAAACTTAAGAATTTGTAGATAGGTTCATAGGGATAAAATTTACCAATGTAGTTGTGTCCATGACCATGGAAATTGTTGCACTTGCCGTAAATTTCTTTGTTCTGTTCATCATTAAGTTGTGGGCTGGAAGAACATAACAGTGTGGAATAGGGAGATATTTTTCCTAATATAAACTAATAATAACTAAAATATGGGGAATGTCTCACCTATGAAGTCTGTGGCAAGCACTGAAATGCTCTTTTCTTGTCAAATAACCGATTGGTAGACGAGACATGATCGGGCCGAAGGTACAAACGACACTGCAGAGAGGTGCTGGAATAGCTGGAGAAGGTGAGGTTTCTTATATAACGCGACCTTCAACAGTAAAAATAAAATAAAACAAACTGATGCATGAGGAGGTATGAGGGAGGGTATCGGCAAGAGGATTCTGTTACCAAACAGGTTATATAAGATAGGAAACTCGTTCAATAGACAGGAAAAAACAATTCTTGAATTAAATAAGTTCGTACCTATTCCATATATAATACAATTTTAAATGTTGATGAGTCTTATTTGTCCATTCTGTGTAGTTTTCGATTTCCGTGCATAGCAGAAGACTTTTTTGTCGTATACAACAAGACGAACAAGTGGTTGCGTGAGTTCTCTTAGAGCAGGGAGTATTGCCACTCCTAGAATGAGATAGCATTATGGCCGCGTTCATGAGCGAGAGAGAAGATGATATGTCAAGTTGAATGGCCTTTTTCGTTTCACTCATAGAGGGCGCGTAATCAGCTGGGAGTTTTGTAAAGAAAATTTTTCATACTCTGTAAATATAGTATGATCAGCTCGTACCACTCCTCGATTCCGAAGAGTATCCCTCAAGTTTCATTATATCCCCGCATTTTGGTCCAGATCGTTCAACTATTCAACACTTTTACCTAAACAATGCTTAGGTCTACAGAGAAAAAGACACATACCTACCTTCAACTGATGTGTAAAGTACTTAAAGGGTGGGCCATGTTGCCCATCCTGCGATGCACAACCCAAGGTCATTGACCTCCCCCAAAACGTCTTGTCAATCCGGATTTTGTTTGTTGACTGTCTCGTCTTGTCTCGGCCTCTTGCCGGTCTGCTCTGCCACCGCCGCTTTTCCGTCTGATAGGACGGGAGCACTCTCCTGCAATTTAGGTCATCACCCAGAAACGTGCGTCTCGAGTGGGGAGCGCCAGGCTGCCCTGCCTTGCCAGTGTCGCTGCGTCCACGTTCGAGAGCGGTAAGGCTGCCTGTTTCCGACTTTGACAGTCCCCTTGATTTTTCTCAATACCGTGGATTTCTTTCATCCGCGAATCTTGGCCACTGTTGGTTCAAGACCTCCTATTTCTGTTTGCGAAATAATGCTTAACATGGATGTCGTCCCTCATTAAACATCTGTTGTTGTTTACACTGTTCGGCATACAGTTTAAATAAATGTAATTATTTATATTTGTTTCAGCTCACTATTCGTCCCTATCCTTGAACTGTTTTTGCAGTATTTTTCATCATGAGGTTGGTGATTTTGGATTCCTCCAGTGAAGTAGCCAATTGGTCTGCAAAATATGTTCTGAAGAAGATAACACAATTCAAACCCGGTCCAGATAATTACTTCGTCCTAGGCCTTCCAACTGGTAAGAAACATGATTGTTACTTATCTTTTTATTTGATTGAATGAGGGGCTCTTCGTATGAGATATAAGCTTCATCCCTGAAATGTTTCCTTTTTATCCAGGTGGCACTCCTCTTGGCATGTACAAAAAGCTAATTGAATTTCACAAGGCAGGACGCATATCATTCAAATATGTGAAGACTTTTAACATGGATGAGTATGTTGGTATGTCAAGTTCATTTTTACGAGGGTCTTTTTTATAAATATTAAATCAATTACCTCAATAGAAAAAATTTCCCCTGTATTATAGGTTTACCTAGAGATCATCCTGAAAGTTACCATTATTACATGTGGAACAATTTCTTCAAACACATAGATATTGATCCAAAAAATGCTCATGTACTAGATGGTAATGCACCAGACCTAAATGCCGAATGTGAAAGCTTTGAAAGATTAATAAAGGAAGCTGGAGGTGTTCACTTGTTCATTGGAGGTAAGTCCATAATACTGTAGTTTTATCTGAAGTAAGCCCAAAAGAAATGTTAAAGAGTTGTTTCATTCCTAAAATTTGCATTCCATGTCTTATTAATTGACTGTTTTCTTTCAATTCCAACAGGTATTGGACCTGATGGCCATATTGCATTTAATGAACCTGGCTCATCTTTGGCTTCACGAACTCGTGTTAAAACCCTTGCTCAAGACACCCTGGAGGCCAATGCTCGCTTTTTTGACAACGATATGTCCAAAGTTCCTAAGCAAGCTCTCACTGTTGGAGTTGCAACAGTAATGGATGCCCAAGAGGTAGGACATTTTTTACGGTGACTCATCATTGTTATTTACAGAATGACTGATGGCCTAAAATTTTTATGATATTATCAGGTAATGATTTTAATTACTGGCACACACAAGGCTTTTGCTTTGTACAAGGCTATAGAGGAAGGTGTGAATCACATGTGGACTGTGTCTGCGTTCCAACAGCACCCCCACACTTTGATGATATGTGATGAAGATGCTACCTTGGAGTTGCGTGTCAAAACAGTGAAATATTTCAAGGTAGGCAATTAATACAAACATAAGTCATAACTTAAGTTCTTGATATTGTATCTTGAAAAGTGGTGGTATTCTTATTCTTCAATTCTGTCAAGATTGTCTTGTTGCAAAATATAGTGACAAACATTTTAAATGCTCAATCAGAAATATGACAAGGCATATACAAATACACTGCCTCATCATCGTGTCTACAGTTTCACTAATACTACTTTTCACTATTACTGTCAGGCTTTAAGTGCAGTTCACCATCGTCTTATAGAGGAAAACAGTAATTAGCAACAATAGACTTCAAGGGCATACTGAAGGGTAATTTTTGTGTGTATTTTTGTGTTTTGTGTGTTTGTGTAAACTACCTGGTTGTTCTCCTTTGTTGCTTTTAATTATTTAGCTTCTGTTTGTGCTATGACTATGTAATCTTTGTTCCCCTTTTTAAAACAAGTTTTATCTCTATCTTATCTGACTTATCCTACTGTTTGTTCTTTTCCTTGGTTCTTGTATGTTGAGGTCAACCCTTTTTTTTCTCTTTTAATTATTTGCTTGTGGTGCCTTTGCATGAATTATTTTGATTTTAAAATCTAAGTGACTCTTATTTATACAAAGATTCTGTTGTAACTTGGATTTTTTTGTTTCAGAATTTGTCTTTGGTACATAGTCGACTCATAGAAGAAGATTCTTAAGGCCTAAATTACACAAATTTTAAATGTGTGTTTTTCTATGCTCTTTTAGATATTGATGGATGTATGCCCACTTTGTCTCTGGAATATTACAAGGTGTTTGGTTGTCATTTAATTGTTGTAACATTTCTAAATTTTTCTTTATCCTTTTGTTATGATAGAGTGTTTGCATGTGATAAGCTTTTGAGGCAAAACTCTCGCCCAGTTTTAATCTAATCTAGCACCGTTGTGAAGTAAAATTCCATTAACAAATAGACTGACATATTGCCTCAAAAAGTGTCAATAATTCATTCATTGCCGTACATTTGTATTGTTGCTGGAAACCTTAACTGGAAGTCAGTCTGATTTACATAAGTTATTGTTACAAATTTTTATAAAAAGTTTTTTCTAATTAATCAACATTTTATTGATATAGTTTTTTGCTGAAACACGTTTTGATCTTTTTAATATGTATGATTATTGCCTCTAAATCTGTTAATGGCTGTTAACTTTAAATAAAATTTTATTTTTTATCTAATATGGGTGTCATCTTTATTGCAGAGGCAAGTGTTTCATCTTCCCTTGCACAACTGCATGCTCTTGAGGGCAACCTCCGCCCAATCCAAAGGTCCATCGTCGCCCTCCCTCTCTCTCCCCTCCCCCTTCTCTCCCTCTTCGCTCGCTCCCTCTCTAATCATAATGGATTTTAATTCCTTTTCTTAACAGCCTCTCCTTTTAATAAAGCTTATATCGCTGCGCACATTTTTAATTTAATTCGCCTCCCGCCCGTCTTCTCGCCGCCTCCCCTGTGGCTACTCGACGCGGCGCCCGGCCCCGGCGGCGCGGCAAGGCGGTCGTGTTCCAAATCCAGAGCCCTCCCGCCGCGGCCCCGCCACGCCCCGCGGTCCAGGCCCGACCAGTCTGGGAGATTACTGGCTGGGTCAGAGGTCGTTTTTCGGCGGAAAAAGAAATGAACATTCCGGCCGGGCATTCAGATGGACGCGGGTGCTGCCCGGCGGCGCGTGCCGACCAGAGCCCGGCCCCGAGCCCGGCCCGGCGGCGGCGTGTTTTTCTTTTCATTATGAGTTTGGGGGTAATAATTGCTTTTCGACTTTAAAAGCTGGCGGCGGGCTGCAGACACGGCTGCGTTGCCTCGGGCGGGTGTTCGCTGAGCAGTGTAGTCTAGCCCGGAGTGAGTCGGCTGCACGGCCTTGTGCAACGCGCTTGTCTTGTAAGTGGAGGGCGGACAGGAGCTGCGTCCAGATACGTGGGTGTCTTGGGTGCCTCGGGTGTCTGAGTCTGCTAGTAGTCTGCTAGTATGAGAAAAATTGGGATTTGGACCAATCACAGCCACGATAGCGCACTATTTTCTCATACTAGCAGACTCAGGCACCCAAGGCACCCAATGCACCTACGTATTTGGACGCAACCAGGTGTCGTGGACTGGCAGCGAGGGCGAGCAGGCCCGGGCCCCGTGCGGGTAGACCCCCCGCGCGCGCGCCTGCGTCGCGGCACAGCATGGCGATCATCACCACTACTTGCCTCTCAGCGGCGCGAGGTGATTGCCACGCTGTGCCGCAGCGCAGGTTCGGGCTTTCTTCCCGCGAACTGTAATCCCTTCCTCTGTCACCTCCTGAAGTCCATGAGCCCGGTGCTTCGCTCGCAATCGTAGGCGTGGCGTGGAGCAGCACCAGCAGCGAGTGCGCGCGCCCCAGTGAGCAATGAAACGTCAGACTGGTGTCAGAAAGATATCAGTTATCAGAGACGTGTCAATTTCAAGACCACATTTTTATCAATCTGATGCGAAAACCGACGAATTTCTAATGTCTGACATAGTTTCGGTATCGGTCTGAAATTGCGTTGCTTACTGGGGCATGGGACTCCACGATGTCGCTTTCTCGTCCTCTTCATATGTCAGCGGTATATTGTCCGCTAAAAAGATACCAGTCTGAACAGATGAGCAGTCATAATAACAAAAATAAAAATAAATCACAGTAGTTGCTTTTTGCATATTTGGTATGAGTATAGTTAAAGTACAGGGTATAACTGTGAATGCGCAGCATTGTTGCGGGTTTGCCTACCCAATTCGCCCGTAAGGCGCCATGGCCCCTGCAGCCCTGGCGGGTATGCAATCCCACAACACTGCTGCTCATTCACAGATACAGCCGGTACTTATACTTATTGTCAACAAAGTAAAAAGGAGCTAAATAAAAAATGGAGGTAAATTTTAAACCAGTTGATATTTGGACTTCATATTTTTGGACCCAAAAATGCTTGGGTGAAATGTTCCACTCTGTCAAATGTCTTTGGGTGAAAGTGCATTGGGTGATATGTCTGGGGCCAATAATTGGTTATGGGGAAAATTGTTTTGGGTGAAACGTCCTGCTCCCTATTGTCCGCCACTTAGTTTACACGGCCTCAGGCTCGTGTCGCGACCCGCAACGAACATCCCCTTCTCCTTTCACCCTGCTACTCGACAACACACACACACACACACACACACACACACACACACACACACACACACACACACACACACATTATGTATTGGATGGGCGAATCTCTTTATTGGTTGGCCCGTGCTGCATTCAAGAGGCTGCCAATGCTGCTTTCCAGGGGAAAAAAAATGTGACCGGAAAGGGAAGGGGATGAACGACGCTGGGGTGATCTGCGCAAGGTGCTCGGCCGAGGTGGCCGAGACGATCACCACGCAGGTCACATCATCAGGGCTTTATCCCTGCTGGGTCGCAAGAAGGTCCCCCTTCGAGTCGTCTACTCCTGGCGCCACGTACTTGCATTTTTTTCAACAGCGTCGTGCTCTTTTTTTTCTCTCTCTCTCTCTCTCTCTCTCCCTTCCCGGCCCTGTCTCGGGCGGGGTGCATTGATTGGGTGTATGGGGACGGCGGGGAGAGGGGACCCTGTCCAGTCCGGTCATAACACGACACACTGGGCTGGGCAGGCCGCTCGCACGGCGCAGGTGGGGCGCGCGGTCCGCAGGTACACACGGGACCAGCTCGCGGGCCCGGCGCGCCCGGCGGCCCCCATACATTCCCTATTTAGAGCCGGCCGTGACCCCCGCCGCCGCCGCGCCGCTTGTGTCCCCTCATCGTTATTAGCCCCATAAAAGTGTCGAAGCGCAGCCGGGCTGACCGGCTCCTCCTCATGTTTATGGGCCCTTCCGCCCCGGGCCCTACGAGTGTTTCCCCGCCCGGAGGGTAATTCTGAGGAAGTGGTGCTCCACGGGGCCGGGGCGGGCCGGGCCGGAGCGGGAGGCAGGCGCCGAGGCCGAGGGTCACTTGTCCGCGCCGATCATGATGTGTGGCCCGGTTAGTCCAATTCGCCGCACCGCGGCCCTCGCGGCCCCGGCGGCCCCGGCGGCGCACACTGTTGGGAGAACGTCGCAGAAGCAGGGGCGCGGGCGAGGGCGCGGGGGAGAGCAAAGGGCGGCAAAGAATGTTTTGGGGTGAAGAGGGGGGAAAGGGTGCACGTGTTAATGGTGGTGCCGCGAAAAGGGTTTGGCAAGACGGCGCGGCCCGGTGAGTGTTGTGGGGGTGGG